CCTAGTACCTAATAGATATTTGTATTGTTGTTTAACCATTCATTATAGATTGTTTTGATGTTTAATTAGAGTTGTAATGGGGAAAGAAATTATGCGAAAGAGTCACAAAGCTTGATCCCTGATTTATTTTCCCTGTTAAATCTAGTGATTATGTTGTGTAATAACAAATTACGATTGTTTTGATGTGTAATTAGCATGGTAATGGGGGATGGAATTCTGCGAAAGATGCATACAATGGGGCGAAATCTGGTCAGTTTTTGAGAGGGAAAAAAACGTGGTCGACAAATTTTTCGGGCCGACAATTGCCGGTAAAAGCCATAATTGCGAAAAGGTCGGACAGTAGCAGTTATAAATTATTCGGAGACGTTTTTTGGGCCATTGAAGTCGACGTTCGTTTTCACTTTTTCAATAAAAAGAATCCCATTGTGCGACGGTAATGATTTGCAATGAAGGTCTTTTATTGCCCTAATATCAGTTTTGCGCAAAAATAGGTTAAACGAGCCTCGCTTTTTTTTCTTCTTCTTAGAATAAGTCAGCTATTTGTGCAATTTTTGAGGAGAAAGTCGACCGGGTTTTTTTATTTGAAATATTTGCAAGTATTTGGGTATATTATGGGATATTTTAAAAAATCATTAAACAATTCTCCGTTTTTAGACTATTTAAATGTCCTAACGATAATTACATTGCAGATAATGTTTATTATTATACTAATCGCTTGGCAAACTCGAAAACCAGATCCGGCTCAAGCCAATCATAAAAACGAATTTACATTGCATTCACGAAAAATCCATTAAATCCCGGCGAGAATCCATTATCGTGGAAAAAAACTAGAAGGAAGAACTCGCCAACTTATTTTTTCCGTCTCGATTTTCGGTGTCCATTCCTAAAAGTAAATGACGCATCCCTCACCCCTATCCAATATGTTGTTTATTTCGATATTTTCGCGATCTCCCATATTTTGGCAGCCTTTCGTCTCGCTTCAGCGTTCGATTTTTAGTTTCACTCTTTCCTCTATCGACCCAGTGGCGTGCCCGTTCCTCTCGAATTAATCTACCACCCCTATCTTAACCCCCAATTAAAACAACCACCCAGAAAGCACGTTACTACAAAACTAACAAATACAATTATTCCACACCTTAATTCTTGTAATAGAAACTTTTTTAGGGGTGATTTTTTTTTATTTACCGGTTGCGCCTATGCGATTTCTCAACCCCTTGTAAGGCTGACCCTCACGCTAGTTCTATTGGCCACCCATACTAGGACATAAAAGCTACCCCTCCAGAAATATACCCTTTGCTGTTTTGTTGTTTTCGTCTAAAAAAAATTCGTCCAGTCATCGGTTTCGGGGGGTTGGGGGGTGTGTTTCTGTTTCGTTCTATTCCGGTTATTTTATTTTAATTACGCCATGTTGATTTGAATAATTCGGTAGTTGTTCGGCGCCCCTCGTAGTTGTTTGTTTGGAGTATACGAGGGTGTTTTGATATGTTCGATAGGTGCTGTTGATAATGCTGTTTTTTTGGGTTCGATAACAAGATAGCGAAATTAATTTTTGTTAAAAATATTAGACGACAAACCGCATTGATAAGTATCTCGGGTTTGTTCACCTTAAATGTGACAAATAAATAACTTTGCCCTTAAATGTCCACTAATGAGTGCGCTCGGAATCGCTTAAATAGTTCCTTATCTGCATATTTTTAAACGATACCGTCTTTCTATCTTGATTTTTGGAATTTTTTCCAAAAATTATTTGACCAACTCGTTTTCTTAAATAATGATGACCACTAGAAAAGTTCCATTAGCTCGGTAATTAGCAAAACATTAAAGAATTTCGTGTACTTACTACTCTAATAGATATACAGAGTGTACTCGTCATAAATTTATACAGTGTGTTTAATCTACAAATTTTAACGACCCCAGTTTTCCCGGAAAATAATTATCTTCTCGCTAAATAAATCATAAAATTTAACGGTATTTTTTTTAATATCTAGTTCAATCGTAAACCGACGTCATAAATCTGTTTTTGATCAACAGAATCGAAATAGCACAAAAAAATCTATTTAATCAGTAAAATTTCGCCGAATAATTCCTCACCCTGTACATCCATAAAACGTAATAACAGACTTCCTGCATTACGATAAACGAGCACAAAAAAACAAATCAATTCGACCATAAACCCAACCGAAATTTCGTAAAAAAAAAGATATCACATTTTCGGTCCAATTAAAGTGTTTACATAAATTAAAAATATAAAAAAATTCCAAAGTTGGCTGGTAAACACTATCACAAATTAGCGTTATCTATCTCGGCGCGTATGCATAGCAATGAAACGTTATTTTTCTAACCCATTTACCGAACTATTCTCCTCGTATAAGATGAACGCAGAGAGAAAAAAAAAATATATGAATGGATTAGGAATTTTACACAATGTCTGAGAGGTGTCGCAATGTGTGTAAACGAGATTTGCGCGCGTTAAAAAAATCGTAAAAACCTCACGGAAAATGAAAAATCCACAAACGGGTCAATGACGGATTAGTAACTTGTTGTTTACACGACAAAAAATAAATCTATTTAGAGGTTGTTAAAATAACAGTGGGTTAGAGTGAAAAAGTGAGATCACTCTCTCTTCTTCCTTTATAGAAGTCTAAATTTGCACTTATCTGTATACACATTCTCGATTTTCTTGTAGCTATTATTATTTAAAAATAAGGAAATAAAATGTTTCTTCGATAACGATATTTTGATGCTAAGTTTACAAAAAAATCATCCACCAAAATTTAGATAATTTTTCTATTTTCTAGAGAATTAGGTAGGTAATTCACATAATAGCATAATATTAGGAAACCCTAACAAACATAAAATTCCAATAATTCCATTGAGCTTCGAATTTAATCCATAAACACCTAATTACAAAAAGCCCTACGCAAATTATGCAAAAATTACAACAAAGCAATTTTTAATGCGAACTGCAATCAATGAGAAACTTTTACTTTAATCACCCTACTTTTGGTTATTCACCGAGTATTATCAATAAGCTCTAGTAATAAGTTTCGTACGGGGGTAAGCGAAAAAGTAACCACCCTTTTACGGATTTTCCAAAGTCGCTTTTCAAATTCGAAAGAAATGGTGAAAAAAAAACCTTGTTTATTCAATGCAATTCCGTAATTCCGTCTGGCCAGAATGGCGAAGGGGGTTGTAAATTTCCCTTGACGTCTCCGGGTACTCCGGGTAGTAAAATTAGTATGCAAATATTGCGAATACCGAGAAAGCGTTTCATAGCCGAATTTTCTAACTAAAAAGCAGGTAGAAATTGCGGGAAGGGTTTTAACGGATTCTCACGGCGATTTTACCCGAATGAGCTCTGTTGGCTACGATTTTTGATAAAAATAGTGCGTTTTTTTATCTCCTCAAACAGTTTAATCGTATTTAACGATGGCATCCGTATCAGCTAAAGTGCAATTAACTATTTTTCGTCGTTAGATAAACAAAATTCCACGAAAAATATTATTTATATTCGTTAACTATCTACGCTTTCTATGGGATAACAAATATTTAATTTAAAAAAGATACATTTACGGACGGACAATACCACACAAAATGCGAAAATTTCGTAAATAACTATATCTCTATAACCAGCCAAAATAAAATAGATAGCATTAGAAACTTCAATTGCCTAAAATTCGACCTGATGATGGCCGATTTAAATCGAAACAAGTACGCAATACGAAAATCATTAGATAATCGAACTTTGTTATTCCACGATACTACAACATCAACAGGGGATTTTTCTTCTCGGCCACGATCTTAACGATTTTCCTATTGCGCAAAACGCTTTCGACGAGCAAAATACGAAAACACGCAAATTTTCCACGGCCGCCATTTTTTCGCTAGAAAGAATCAAACTTATTCAATTGGCAATGTGACTGATAAAGCGGTCGAAAAAATCGCGAGATAAAGTCCGCGTCTGGTGCAATGTGGAGCTCTAACGTGTTACTTACCTACTTCAATCGCTTCATAGTTGTGTAGGTACGCGAATAGTAGAGGTGATTTTTGTATTTTTCAATTTGTTTATAATCTGTAAGTATCTGTTTGGTTATCGATATATTTTATGTTAGTATAGTGCGCTCGAGTATGTGAAATGTTTGCTTTAAATTGCACTTTTTTAAAAGTATATCAAGACGATTGTTCTTTAGAAGTGTATGGAAAAATTTAATTAAAATTGGAAATGTTGGGGGCAATGAAGAATTGAAAATATTAGTTTTAGCTTTATAGGTATGTTAAAAATTACATGATTCATTATTTAATGCAATACTTTCACTTGGGAACTCTATGAACTGAGTTTTTCTATGATAGATGGTTCAATAATGATCCATTTAAATGACCCGCTCGATCACCAGACTTAAGTCCTATAGATTTCTCAATTCCACAATTAATTCTTTTCCATACACTTTTAAAGAATTTATGGGATCAATAGTTTTTTTGTGGAGAATATCAAAAAATGCTGGTTTATTGTAATTCTGGTATAAAATTCATTTAGTATTTTTTTTAAACCAGTTTCGATCCCGATACAATAGCGAGCGAAAATAAACAAACGCATGGAAAAAGCAACAAAACTAAGAAGTCTGGCGTCTCTACCAAAAACCATAATAATAAACCTTTTTTTATTCGAACGCCCCATTAAATCACGCAATATACATTTCGATGTATCCCGTTTTATTGCCGATTTTATTATTCCATTCCTCAAAATAACTATTACTTTTTTAATCTGGCATAAAAGCTCCGGCTTGTATTCTTTATACTTTATATTCCGTTCCTCGGTTGATTCGATTCCGAGTCTCTCGCTCTTGCCTTTCGGCAATTCGGTTGAATCGCACAGCTTTCGGGAGCTTTTCCTCGCCGGTGGGGGTAAGTGGGGGTGTTCACCGGCACCGGTGGTGGGGGCAAATGGACATCGGAGTTGGCGATAGTTGGGTCAGAACTTGGGAAATTTACTATGTTTCAGTCTTGACACGAGAACGGCGTCGGTCGCACGATAAGCCCAAGTTTTTGTTATCAGTGTATTTTTTTTTGTCAATAGTATTACGTGTGCTTTTTTTGTATATTGTATTTTATATTCGTATGGAAAAGGAATGAGAAATTACGTTAGTTGGATTACACCTGGTAAATTTAGGTAAGGTTTTTATTTTTGTATTTTTTTTTATTGCGATTTCGGTGATTCATTAGATCAAAGCAAACATTGGATAATAGTAGGGTATTTACCTCTTTCTAAAAATAGCTGTGTTTTATACAATTTTTTATTCTCTTGTTTGGTTTATCTGGTTTTAAATAAATTCCGATTGCGGTTGTTAAATTGTTTAAATTACAATTAAATGAAAGTAATTATTTACACTATTATAACACAAAAATGATTTGCAATTAAATTACTAATACTGTTTATAAACTACAGGAAGTGGGTACAATATCTCCACAATAATTCAAAACAAGGATTTTCCTAAATGTCCTTTTAATCATCCACAATGGTTTTTAAATCTCATTTCTTCCCGGTACTCCGAACAAAACCATACGCATTATTACTTTCCTCGGAATTGTATGAATTAAATCGAATTGACCCCTTTCGTTTTAAAGGAAATGTTTATGAATTATTGAAAAAGGTTAGACGGGGTTATCTCTTCTTAAAAATATAGGTTATACATTACTATATCGGATCGAAAGAATAAAAAAAACTCGTGTTGAACGTCCGATGATGTAAATAAAATGTAACGAGAGTTTTATTAACAACAAAAAAAATACCATCGAGTACTCGGAGTTAATACAGTTCAACGGTCTCGGGAAAGGATAAAAAACATTTACACTCGAGTACTAGCATCTTGCGCAAAGACATGTTGTTTTGTTAGCTCATTAGCATCCCTATTAGCATCCCCAAGGAGCTACCTACCCACAGCTACTCTGTATTACAAAGCAAATATTTGTTACTGTTTTTAAGCGAGCCTCGCCCATTATTCTCGATTTTAATCGGGATTTTTCTTTACAGCGTTTGATTTCTGCGTGAAATGAGAGGAGGTGTGTCGTACGAAATGTCTTCGACGTGCGTACAAGGTGGAATTAGGCCTTTGGGGGGTTACCAGCCCAACATGCTGATGGGACCGTCTTCGCCGGCCTCCGCTTGGCAATATCAATCGATTATTCCGGTGAGTAGAATATTTTTTAACAAATTCACAAATTTACACGCTAGATTGTAATGTCAGTCTTGACGCAACTATTCCACTAATTGGGGGTTTCGTACGAATTTCATAACGGTCGAGAAAAACAAAAACTTTGGACTGAAAACAAATCTTTTCGCGTAACCTCGTTCGTAAATATTTTTTTATTCGATCGCGTTTCGCAACGGATTGCTTAAAAAGAGACCTCGCTCGGGCAAGGCTCTTTCGAATTTTTTTTGGGATCCTTTTAAAAATATCGTTGCATCGTTATCGCCGCGTTGATAACGAGGAGGCCTTCGGAAAAAAAATCCTACGAGAGCCTTGGAATCGCGATAAATTGCAAGTGCACGAACGTCTCTTATATAATCATATGAGCTGGTGCTTTCGAAATGATCAATCGCGAAATGATGTAACACGTTCATTGATGAAAAAAAAGAAGCGCACTCGTTCGAATAAGGTGTGGATATTGTGTTTCCAGACATCCTATTTTCGTGACACATTTCTGCGGTCCTTTTAGTTTTCGAAAAAAAAGAGCAACATATAAACAAACCGGCCGCATTAATTGCCGCGCTATTTTTAAATCCTCCCGAAGCGTACAACGCTCCATCATCTCTGTTGTTGTAATATTTCAAAACAACACGAAAATAGTAATCGTTCGTTTGTCACAACAATTCACAAACTAGTTAAATTGTTACAGAAACGCGAGCCCATCGACCCGGAGGAGCGCAACAACGACTCCGGCTTGGTGTCCGGCAGCGACTTCGTCTCCTCGTCGCCGGGCAGCGACAAAAGCGAGAACTTCCCCGCCAATCAAATGGTCACCTCCACGCCGCACGCCTTCTACTCCACCCCCACCGGCGTCTACCAGCAGCCCCAGCTCAGCCCCGTCACCAGCGAGTCCTACAACACGCTCAAACTCGACACCCCCTGCGCCTCCCCGGGCGACAACTCCCAACCCAACGACAATCCCGAAGACGCCCTCAAGAAGCTCCAGGCGTCGCTGGAGAAGAACGGCTTCCTGCCGCAGGCGATGTCGCCCAAATTCGGCGAATGGTCGGCCGACGACGACAACAACTCCGACAAGGAGCCGGAGGAGTACGACGAGCAGGGGCTGCGCATCCCGAAGGTGAATTCGCACGGTAAAATAAAGACGTTCAAGTGCAAGCAGTGCGACTTCGTCGCCATCACGAAGCTCGTCTTCTGGGAGCACACCAAGACGCACATCAAGGCCGACAAGCTGCTCACCTGCCCCAAGTGCCCGTTCGTCACCGAGTACAAGCACCACCTGGAGTACCACCTGCGCAACCACTTCGGCTCGAAGCCGTTCAAGTGCACCCAGTGCAGCTACTCGTGCGTGAACAAATCGATGTTGAACTCGCACTTGAAGTCCCACTCGAACATCTACCAGTACCGCTGCTCCGATTGCAGCTACGCCACTAAATACTGTCACTCGTTGAAGCTGCATTTGAGGAAGTACTCGCACAAGCCGGCGATGGTGCTCAATCCGGACGGTACCCCCAACCCGCTGCCTATCATAGACGTCTACGGCACCAGGAGGGGGCCTAAGATGAAGTCGCAGCCTTCGGAGGGTAAATCCCAGCAGGAGGAGACCAAACCGAAGGTCGAACAACAACAACAACCGCCGTTGCCGTTCGCTTTGAACCAATTCATGCCGCAGCTGCCGTTCCCCGGGTTCCCGTTCTTCGCCGGTTTCCCCGGCGCCATTCCCAACTCGCTGCTGATGCAGAACCTGGAGACCATCGCCAGGGAGCGGCGGGAGTCGGCCTGTTCCCCGGAGCAATTCGAAACAGAGCAAGGCGTGCTGGACTTGAGCAAACCGGAGGGGCCGGTGAAGCATCGACGCAAAGGTACCGCTTACAAGCTGTCTTCTAACGGGGAAGCTTCCTCCGAGGAGGAGGACGACGACGGGACCACCACGATGTTCGGTAACGTGGAAGTGGTGGAGACCAAGATGGAGGATTCGCAGCCCGAGAAGGAGGCGGACGATTCGAGTGCCGGTAAAGCCAAAGAGGATTACAATTGTCAGTACTGTAGGATAAATTTCGGGGAGCCGGTTTTGTACACCATGCACATGGGTTATCACGGCTACAACAATCCCTTCACGTGCAACATGTGCGGGGAAGAGTGCAAAGACAAAGTGTCGTTTTTCCTGCACATCGCTCGTACTCCTCACTCTTAGTGAATGAAATTTGAGACTGATTGTTTCAGGATTCGTATCCGATATGGAGCTTTTTTTATAAAATTTTTGATTCGTACGGATTCTGAACGGTTACGAAGACATACCTAAGTTAGATTAGCATCTAGTCAGATAAAGATTGTTTTGTTTTGTGCATATACCGTGCAATTTAATTTCTAGTTTTGCAAACTTCGGAAGGATACGGGTATAAACGAGCGTTTCGTGCCATAAATGTAAATTATTTATAGTCCACGTTTTTTTTTAATTATTTTGTAAATTTTTTTAGACAGCTATAAGTCCAAAAATTTTTATTGCGAATTTGTAATAAGCGTGTAAATTTTTGTAAATGTTTTTAATAGATACATTATCGAATACGAAAAAAAATAACAGTAGATACGTCGAAATATATTATATATATTTTGTATAAATTTTTGGGGCCACGACCTGTAAGACTGATGTGTAAATACTTTTGTCTGTTTTTTTTTTTCATTTATTAGTATTAGCTAGAGCAACTGATCAAAAAATAACTATGTATTATATTACGTGGGTATTATAGCTGACTGCAGTTTGAACCAAATAAATAAATAATGTTTTGAATGATTTTTTTTAGTTTTTTTCCACTGAATATAAAAATTGTATTGCGCAATGAAAAAGCAATTTTTTAAACATCGAGAACTAGATCACAAGCTTTATAAATAAAATGTCGAATTCCGGACCATTATGCAATTTCCAAATAATATAAAAATACTATTAGCAGCACTATCTGCTTGGGCAAATTGTTTTTGAAATAGAGAAAAATAAAACCGCAAAAAATAATCAACAATATTGGTATTTCAGTTGGACCGGAATGGAAAACTTTATTCTAATTTGTTGTTCAAAATAAATAGATGCAGCAAAAACTTCCTATACAAAATAGATAAATTGCGATTAAAATAGAAATAAAAATTTGTTTCTAAAATTCCCCAGGATTTTTGAATATAACGATTTCTAGACATTTCAAATGTAGGTAGACCTACTGGTAGTGTATACAGGGTGTATCTAAATAGCACCGAAAAAATTTTAGATCTGATTCTGTGATGAAAATTAAGGTGGGTACTTGGTATAATTTTTTTTTGAAAAAACCCTCCTCGGAAAAGTTATACTCCGAAGATTAAAAAAAATGGTTTTTCTTCTTTATTTTTCCTGTATATTTACACCATGATTTAGGTACACCCTGTATAGGCTTTCAAACGAAATTCCTTGTAAATAAACCGAATATTACTCAAAACAAAAAAATATTTATAAACCCTAAAATTACACAAAAACATCCACCTCAAAAGCGCCGATCGGAGACCCTTTAAATAAATTTTATAATTTTACAACGGTTTTTTGCCGGCAAGAAAGGGTTCTAAAATAACTTGCACAACTCGTTGATGGAAGCCATTAAAATTACTCGGTAACGGTACCGGAGTATTCGGCGATCTGCTCAGAGCAGAAAAAAAACCAGCGTATTTTACGAGGGCATCACAAAAAAACGTCAATTTGTCAGCCGTAGGACCGAAGGAAAAGGGCCATAACGGCGTAAAATTTCTTATTGAAGCCATTTCGTACGCCTCTCACTCTCCACTTTTTTTGAATATTCCGAAGCTCTCTCACAATAATACCTCGCCATACAATTACAAAAATTTACAAAGAATATACGGGAATAATCAAATCGAAGAATGTACCATCTCTTGTAGATCGATCAGTATAAAAACTTCGATTGGAATAGCATTAATATTGATGACTTTTTTCCTGTATCGTTTTAAACGTGCTTATCGCTTTCATCGCGTTCGTGTCACCTCAATTAGATCAGGTAAATTATTTTTTTAACAGATGTGAAGGACTTCATTTCGGGACGATTCGAAAAGAAGATCCCTTATCGAGCCTCTCTTACGGTCAACTAAACACTCTAAAACCAGAGCGAATTTCGCATATTTTCCACCATTTCCACTCGCTGAGCTCGTGCACGAGGAATTATAATTATATTCTGCGCGGTTCCCGGGGTGCCTACTTAACCGGATTAACCTCCAAACTCCGTTCCAGCAGTTTTTTTTCCGCTTCCCTTCGTTCGGAATGGTTTAACGTGCGCCGCGGCACCGGCTCCGCTTTTTCGGGAAACATGTGCTGGCAATTTATTCATTATTTTCGTTACTTCCCTAATTTTAAGACTGCTCCCCGAAAATACGGAATCCCGGAGGTGACACGGCACATGTAGTTTCGTAAAAGGTGTCGCCAGTGGCGTGCAAATTCGATATAAAATTACTACAAAAAGGGTAATTACAGGCTATCTAGATGATGAGATTTCTGGAGGTAATTTGCGTTGGGAAAATTAGCATTGAAACGAGTATGAGTAGTAAATAAGTTGGGGTGTTGAGAGTTGAAGGGGGTTAAATAATTTTCGGGTTACACCTATGCTCGGGTAACTTAATATTACGGGAAAAAAATCTGTTACTGGGCATGCTGTGAAGGGTCGAAGGCTCTTAAGATACTTCCGTTTGGAGACATTCAACCACCAGAGCACGTGGATAGCGCGGTAAAATCATATTTAGAGTTTATTTTATTTAATTTCCGAGCACCTGTGGGTTCCGAAAATACCATTCAAAATCGCGTCTACCTTTAGAATTTTTGGCATTATAAAAAGCTACTCTATTTTTCTAATAAGTCCATAAAAAGCGTTTTTGCTCGGCCATTCGTATTATGTACTATAGCGGGTGTCTATATCGAGGGTGGCTGATTGCCGGACGAATACCGAGGGACAAAACAGCTGGGGCCGGTGGGCACCTATTAAAAAACACGTCCACAAAGGACCCAAATCTTAGCAACTAGATGAGCGTGCAGCTTTTGTGCGCCTCCATAATAAGCTCGTGCTGTAATTTGATATCAAAAGAGAACTCGTAAACAATTTAATTGCGTCAGCGTTAAACAAGTTAAAAACGAACTAACAGAAATATGCGCACAAGCCTACAGTGCACCGGAATTACCCACCTAAATGGGTAGCTGATAATGGAGATTAAATAAATTTCGAGTCGAAAATAACACTTATTTTGTAACAGTCGTTACTACACCTCTATACCAACAAAATATTTACCACCTCTATTAAACTTCCTGCCATTCGAAATGTCATTAATGTCAATTTTGACAGTTTTTGTTACATTCGCGTACAATGCGAAAAAATTGTACCTAATTTATCGTAGTGTATAGTAGAATAAAGTAAAGTAATCAGGAGAACGATAGGTAATATAGAAATGTAACGTTTATTTTGTATTAGTCGTTAGTGTATCTCAATAAAAAAATAATTCACACCTATATTAAACATGCCATTCGAAATGTCATTAATGTCAATTTTGACAGTTTCTGTAACTTCTATGCAAATCTGTTCTGCAAATCTATAAAAAAATCATCCTCAGCTCCATTAAACTTCTGTCAGACGAACTGTCATTATAATGTCAATTTTGTCAGTTTTTGAATATGTATCATCGAGCGCATCTTAAAATCCCACTTAATCACGTACAATGCGAAAAAATGATTGTGTGAGAAATTTAGGTAAATTCTGCTATTTATTTAAGTCGAAAAGGTGGAGAGAACCTTCTCACATCTCGCGTCACACCAAACTCACCCTAATTAAAAGTACGAAAAACGGAATTTCGAGAGAGAATGACCGAGCGAAGGGTCATTACAAAGCTGTCCCACGCATCCCTTCGACATTAGCAGAAAAGAAAATTATTACATATGTCCGGCTCGGGCCCCATGCCGCGTCGCAACTGACAATTAAAGCTATAAAATCGACGATAAGCCCGGATTACAATTTCTTTTCGGACGTTCCGTATATACATAAAGATCCGAAATTTGGATTTTTCAATGGGTCGTAGGTGTCGGTGTTCGATGTCCACCCCAAGCCCCATTGTTCGGGCTCTTTTCTCCCATTGTCCCCCATTTCCAAATTGACGTTTTTCAATTAGATATCGCCCGTGATTTATCTTGCGAAAGTAATTTATTTTAAAGCGATTGTTCGCAATTTCATTTTATCGCATAAAAACTGTTAATTAACAGAAATAGGAACCCTCAGAATGCATCTTTATATCCTATTGGGTTATTAAATATTTATTTTTTACTCCCCCTTTAGTAAAATATCCTATAATTATTGATTGAATAAAAAAAATGTAAAAGACACCATATAGCGGAACGGATCCGCCATTCAACCTGCCACCCCAGTGTAAAAAACGGCACGCGCTTCCCCTAATTTTTAATAAGTAGGTACTTAGGGTAGATAGCAGGGTGGTTTTTTATGAGGGTTAAAAATTCTATACCTGTTTTTTGTGCGCGTATCGCCTTTCGTCGGGTCGTCTTCATCGAGCGGGGGAATGCTAAATAGATATTTAGGGTTAGGGCTGGGTGAAGGGAGAGTTTTTTTTAGCTTTTTTAGACACGCCTTCGAATCGAAATAAAATGGCGGATAGCCGAGGCTTTTTAACGTGGGGTTAAATTAAAAAAACGTATATAGAATCGTATTCGACGAAACGGATGAGATATAAAGCCGATCCACCCTCGTTTCACACCCTAAATCGTTTATTTTCCGCATTCGCGGGAAAAGTACTCTCGACCGTATTTCTTATTTCACTACAATATATCATTAAATGGGGTTGAATTCGGACCATTGTGGGGTAAAAATGTAATTTTTGCAATAAGAAAAATACTCGTGCGTATGACTCACATTGACCACTGGTCAAGGGTGGCTGAAATATCGCCTATTGGGTATTGAAAATTACTCCAGAAAGCTCGCATGGAGTTCTTTTGTCCTCGCAGGACTATTTATCAAAGGATATATCAGCGCCTCGTGCACATATACTCGCATTTATTCTCCTCACGTATTTATTGCATTTAGCGCAAATTTTATTTGGAATATAATCTACTTCGTAGCCAAACAAGTATACCATTTCATCCTCTTCAAAAATGTTGAGAAACTTGCTCATTTTATCATCTTCAAAATCTTAAGAATGTTACTCATTTCATCATCATGAGAAACTCACTCATTTCAATAATCCCTTTCATTATCTTCTAAATCTTGAGAAACTTACTCATTTTATCATCTTCAAAATCTTAAGAATGTTACTCATTTCTTCATCTTGAGAAATCTATACATCTACTCTCATCTAGGTACTCTCATCTACTCTCATCTACTCTCATCTACTCTCATCTACTCTCATCTACTCTCATCTACTCTCATCTACTCTCATCTACTCTCATCTACTCTCATCTACTCTCATCTACTCTCATCTACTCTCATCTACTCTCATATCTACTCGGAAGCCAATTCAGACTCTCGAGAGTCCCGAATTTTGTGGGTTTCAATGAACAAAATCGAGCACCTTTTAGGAACAACTATTTTTAAAACGCCAATAAACCCTTCCCGGCTCGCGCCGTTTTCGTTTCCGAGTTTTTCGACTTTCTCGACTTTATCCATCAGCGGGGGCGATTTTTCACGTTTTGTTCCGCCGCCGGCTAATGATTTTCCCTCGCCCGCGCCGCTCCCCCCGCCCGCCCGCCCGAAAATAGAA